GGGCTCAGAACCTTTCGCTCCTTACACCACGAACAAAAGTCGCGGTAAGCGTTGGCCAGCATGGCATTCACATCGTCGCCAGCCCAAATCCCCTGCTACATGGTACATATTGTAGACACAGATTACTTAAGGTTTAGGCTTTGGGGTGTAGGCTTTGGGGCTTGGCGGGTGTGGTTTTGGAATTGTGCCTTCTGCATCAGTAGGTCGATGCACCCGGCACCAGCCCACAGCATAATGCCAAGATTTATGGTGTGTAGGGAGCACCAGCGAAGCATCGTGGGCCTCCATCCGAGGATCTCCGAGATGACACCTGCGTGCAAACATTGGTTTTTGCTTCGAGCCTGGACAAGCAATTAAACTAGTTTGTGATTGCGGGCTTCTACGGGGCAATTTATAATTGTAAGATGTAACACTTTCGGATTTCAATCCAGCGGCTCGTCCTTCCACCATCATCCACCAAGCTAGTGCAGGCCTCGGCAAAGTTCTCGGGTGTCCGCCTGGGCATACTTTCCATTGTTGACATTCGAGGGTCATCGAAGAAAGAGTCCAGACGGGCGTGGCAGTGGTGGCAGACGGCGTTGCTGCTCCATCCGATTTTTTTAAACCCGAGCCATTCCTAGGTAGCGACTACAAAACACCCAGAAAGAGAGAGAGAGAGAGAGAGAGAGAGAGAGAGAGAGAGAGAGAGAGAGAGAGAGAGAGAGAGAGAGAGAGAGAGAGAGAGAGAGAGAGAGAGAGAGAGACAGAGAGAGAGAGAGAGAGAGAGAGAGAGAGAGAGCGGGAGCGAGAACAACAAAATCGGCTTCGGGGTCTAGGGTCTAGAGCAGATATCATGATGAATCGAAACCGGTTCCGATACAATTCATACCCGCCAAGTCTCTTTGTAAAACTTCCAGTCTGCCCTTAGCTCGGTAAGAGCGGCCAGCGGTGGCTCCATGTCGGGCTCGCAGACCTCTCCTCGGAACAAAATGTTCAAGGAGTCGACCACCTCAGCACAGGAACATATCGTTCAGGTTTCGGTTGGGGGTTGGACGTGCATGCCATCGGAATTTATTTGGGTCCAAGCGACAGGCCTCATAAAGGCCTGAATGGTCGAAAACCCGGTCGACAAAGACTGCCAGGGATGATATCTGACATGTACAAGGCTAGATAGGGTGGGTTTAGCTTATTTAGAGGGTGTTACTATGTCGGGTTTCACACCTCCCTCAGGATCCACAAGGGGAAGTGCGTGGTCATCGAATGCGTCCGCTCATCTAAGACCAGGCCTAGACTCACCTGGGTGAGTTTCTCTTCATTTGTCCATTTCACATCATCGGCATAGAGATAGACTGGCAAATGCTTGCAGTTTCCCCCCTGCTCAGCGAGTGGATGTTCGGGGCCCCATTCCGCGTGCGTGAACATGTGGCTCCAATATTCCCGAATCGCTGCAAAGTCGGGCACAACGAGGTTGTGCTTCAGCAAGTGAGGAATCAATCGATGAGGGAGGACCACCGGTAATTTCCTGAATCCCAACTAGCCACGACCACACTCTTGGTTACGAATGATATTAGGGTACGGTTACTGGGCTTCAGGGTTTATAATCGAGGGTTCGGGGGCCTAGGGGTTAGGGGCTGATTGTTCGGAAGCTTTACACGAGCACAGTCGGCAATCGCCTCATCACCACAGTGGGGTCCGTGGCACTCTTCATCATGGGGACCTCCACCGTATCCATCGGCACCTGGGTTTAGGTTCGGGCTTTAGGGTTTTAACGTTCCAGGGTCGAGGCTTTATTGTTGGGAATCTTCGGCATCTGAGTCGATCGCCATATCCATAGCTCCATCGAGGATTCTCAACGAATCTCGCTGCAGATTCTGCGGATGTTTCCCAGTAGCACCTGCCAGCCGAAGCCTCTGTGCTGTCCGTGGCAAAGTTCCGCCAGCTGCTTGAAGCTCCTGCATCGACGGGGGATATAACGAGTTCGAGGGGATGTTACTAAGTTACACGGAGCCAATCCTTATGGGACTCTTCCAAGAACTGCCTGGCTCCGGCGAAGCTGAGGTCCTGGATTGTCGACAGCTGCGAACGGAATCGAGGCAGGTTTGATCTGGATTGGCTTAGCACCGGACCCCTTTACCAGTGCATCGGAGGATGTGTCGCCCCAGTGGCCCCAGGTCGTCGTTCATAGATTCTGCGACAGGGGGTTGTGCTAGCTAGAGGTGCATGTTTATCGGCTGCCATTCAAAGCATAAGACCTCTAGAGTGCATTTTCGGATCCATGTGCGTTGAGAAAGCTTCCCCGGCACATTCGGGGGTCTGGCATCGAGATGCTTGAAATCTGCTAGCCGCCATGGGCCGTGAGACCCAGGTTCCAGCCCGGGCCCACAAAATTTGTGTGCACTTCTAACTGGAAAAGAGCACGAGGATCCAAGCTGCTAGTCTGCTTCTAGAACTAGCAAAGCGGCAACTCGAAATCCCGTAAAAGATGCTGCCGAGCTAATAGGACTCTCTGCATGTACCAGCTTATGGGCCCTCTAGCGGCTCTAGCGACTAGCGACCCCGAACTTTATAAGCTATCAATCTTATCCCGGCAACACCTCAACAGCTCGCCAGTCCACGGCACACCCAGCCAGGCGCTCAGCCTTGATCACTTCTTCTTGCCGCCGCGGCCCTTCGCCTTCGCTTTGGCCTTCGGCCCTGCCTGGGCTTGGGATGGCTCTCGTCAGCAACCCCGAAGCTTCACACCCCAAACCTAAGCCCGAACCCTTAAACCCTGAGCCTAGCCTAGACCCTAGGCCTAAACCTAAAGCCCTATATAGACCTTAAATACAGCCCCTGTAAACCTAGCCAAGGCCTATTGCAAAGAACCTAAATAAAACCTTAAACCTAGCCTATGCCTTATTATCATATATACATATATACATACTTATGATCGAGAGACCCTAACCCTAAACCCAGCCTAAATCCTAAACCACAGGAACCTTTTTGGCAATTCGATGTGGGATTGCATGTACACTACTGAAAACAGCTTGGGCTCAGGAGGCTTGGGCGGCTTTCCTAGCTTATAATATTTGGGCACCTAGCTAGATAGCTACTGGTTGGGTGGATTTATAAGGACTTAGAGGTTATGGTTCCCTCGAAGCAATGTCACCCCAAGGTATGCTCGAGGACCAAGTACTGCTACAATGCAATCTGGCGGCCGACATCTTCTTCATCGCATTCGTCGACTGCACATAGTTAGTAATCTTTTGTGTGACCTCGTCCAAAAGCTCCTGAAGCCGATCACCCGAGCCCTTGTCCACCTCAGCCTGCAGCTTGTCCCTGGCTTGCTGAAGGCTCTCTTTGTGGTTCTTGAGATCCGTGAGGAAGCCGTCGCGGATCGGCTGCGACCTGGAATCAAGATTGGACTGGCAGAGGATCTAAATAAGGCTAGGCTTCAGGGCTTATATTAGGGGCTTAATATCGAGACCCTAGCGTGAGTTTGTTGATTAAGGTAGGGTTACGTATATATATATATATATATATTTTTTTCATATATATATATATATATATATAGTATATGTATGTCATATGTGCAGTTTGGGCTCTCGGTTGGGATTTGCGATTAAGGGCTTTAGGTTTTGTGATTGTTGCATCAGGGATACATATCCTTGGCCCCGGCGATCTCCTCCTGCAGCACACTCGACTCCTCTAGCTTTGTGGAAGCCAGGGCAATCTTGTTCTTGCACTGGTTCGTGAGGGCGGTTTTCTTCTTCTTGTCCATGGTTTCCGGTTGGGTTGCCAGGGTCGAGCCTGCATGGTGGTCCTGAGGGGCAATTAATGGCAGTGCAAGCTTAAGGGTTTCGGGGCCCTGAGTTTCAAACCGCAGAAAAACTACATTCTACTATATAGGCACTTTGGATCTTGTGGGTTTGGTGTTTAACTCAGCACAGTGGCATCGCCGCTCGAGTGGCCCCCGCATCGAGCTGCATCTGGTCGGTCTGCAAGGTCGTCGTTTTCGAAGACTTGTCGTTTTTCGTCAAGACCGCCTCCTTGAATGTCCGTACCAACGTCCACTCCTGTCAAGTTTAGGGCTAGAGGGTTGAGGGATATTTAATGTTCAAGACATAACCACATTTTGTTTTTGCAAGCCCCGCCTTACATCCAGGTAAATCAGGGTGTTTCAATATGAAAGGAGGTTCCTGACTATCCTCGGGAAGGGCGTCTTGGAGGGCCATCTTTGAGCGGTAAATCTCCTCTGCATGCTGGTCCCCCTCTTTGGCCCGTAGGTCACACAATCTCATGTAATGCTCCTCGCCTCGCATGATGTGCTCTACGGTAGATTCTGCCTTGCAGCAGATGCTCGAGCTGAGCCAATCGCCACCAGCTTTGAGGTACTCATTGAACATGTCGTCCAGCACTTTAGAGCCTGGGGGCATCATTTCAGAACACTCATGTACATTGATATATGATAGCAAGAATTCTAGAAGTCGTCCACAAGCTTAGCACCGGTGCCGAAAAACCGTAGAACCTAAGTGGTTCACATTAATATTATTGCAAGCTTAGGACCGGTGCCTCGCGTTGCCTTGCTGGCGGCTTCTGCAACCTCCGGTGGGCAGTTCGTGCCTGGGCCATCAGTGGCTTGAACCATGCTTTTGAGCCAGAGTATTTAGGGGTATATTCCGCTTTAGGGTCCCGGGTAGACGGTGAATTGATGATTCATGATCAGATCCACCACACTGGTGAATATTGTGTGATTGATGAAGTTGTTCGGATCTGGTACGGCTATATTTAGACTCTGGGCTTAAGGGGCTTTAGGCGGATGTTAGGGTTTCAGGATTGAAGGCATATATGGGGCTTGAGGCATTCAGAAGTTTAAGGGTTTACGGGTATTGGGGTGTGGGTGAAGAGTCTCTAGGAGTTCTCTAGCGATTGTTGTACATAGTTGGATGCAATTCGGATCAAGGAGACAGTTCAGGGCTTCAGGGTTTAAAGAATTTGGAGATTTCAGGCTTTACCTAGCTAATAATATCAAAGCCAAGCACTGCGGATGGACCGGTGGAACTTCATGAAGACATTGTGGGCCACCCTCGTCATCCACTCCTCAGTGGATTCGCCTTCCTTCTGGGTAAGCGATGCTTCCTGCCATGTATCGTAGAGGGTTTAGGGGCAGCGTGATCCCAAAACTGTCCGAAAGGCCTTGGAAGACCCCCACTACCCCTGAAACCAGCCTCGGGACTAGCACCCTTTCCAACGAAACTCGGGTCCTTCAAATCGAAAGAGTTGGGCTTCTCCAATGCCTTGAAAACGGCCTCCGTCCTGGCCGACGTCTTGCTGCGAGCCTCAACCGGGGCCAGCTGGAGGACCCCTGGATCCGGATGCTGCATGGCTTCCTGCTGCTGGTCGCCTGTTCCCTGCGTGGCTTGATCTGCTTGCATCGTCGGGACCCCTGACTCCAAATCCGGTGCTTGCTGCACGGCTTCATGCTGGTCGCCTGTTCCCTGCGTGGCCTCTGCGTCTGCTTGCAACGGGACCCCTGACTCCGAATCCGGTGCTTGCTGCATGGCTTCCTGCTGCTGGTCGCCTGTTCCCTGTGTGGCCTCTGCGTCTGCTTGCATCGGGACCCCTGACTCCGAACCTGGTGCTTGCTGCGTGGCTTCCTGCTGCTGGTCGCCTGTTCCCTGTGTGGCCTCTGCGTCTGCTTGCATCGGGACCCCTGACTCCGAATTTGGTGCTTGCTGCGTGGCTTCCTGCTGGTCGCGTGTTCCCTGTGTGGCCTCTGCTAGATTTGCGTCTGCTTGCATAGGGACCCCCGACTCCGAATCCGGTCCTTGCTGCATGGCTTCCTGCTGGTCGCGTGTTCCCTGCGTGGCTTCTGCTTGCATGGGCTGCGAAACCACTCCTTCCATAGCCTGGTTGCCTGTTCCCTGCGTGTCCACCAAGGTCTCCGGAAGCGGGAGCGACGACGGCTCCTGGGCACAGCGGTTCGTAGTACTAGCACTGTGGAGGTTGTACGAGTGCTATAGCTAGCAGCAGAAAAACAAAGTAGAAGTGATAGATATCTAGTATACAGTACTAGTCCTAGTACTAGTACTACGGTTGATGATACAAATCCTGCATTACCTGAAGGACCCGAAACTATGGGAATTATGGTATATTCCTTATTATGGGTAATGCAGGATTTATATCATCAACCGTAGTACTACTACTACTACTACTACTACTTGTAACTGTACATAGTCTGCGGGCTGGCTGTTGTGCTGTATGCTTTTATGCATGCTCTTCTGTAATTCGTATTCATAACATTTTTGGCTCAAGTGAGCACGGCAGTGTGTCGTTGGTAGCTTCTCGTTGCCGCGACGCAATTGCGCGCAGCCCGTCCTGGGCGGACGTTCGACCTGTCACGGTCGTTGGACTTTCTGCTTGGACGGAAAACGAGGGTGCGTGCTGCCCCTTTGGGTTTCCGTTCTCCACAATTGGGGGCTGTTCTGGGAAACGGCCACCCAGGCGGCTGCTGCGCCGCAATCTTTTAACGTGGCCTCGAAGGCGCGCTTGTCGTGCGCCTTGAGGCCGTGGTCCTGTGTGGCACGGGGCTCTCTCCTTCGCTAGGCGACCATGAGCGCTGAGGTCGCAGGTCAGCCGGAAGGAGCCACGTTGCTGAGGTGCATCGAGGATGGGTCAGTGGAGTACCCGGAGAAGATGCCCTTTATGTACTGGCTCCGTTGGCGTAAGGAAACGGGGTCCCGTCCCACCAAGAAGAAGGACGGACGATCCACGACGCTAGCAGATGAACAGCGTCTGTGGAAGGAGACGATGGAATTCCTCTACGACAACTTCGATGCCGAAGAGGAAGAGGAAGAAGATGAAGAGGAAGATGAGGAAGCTCCAGCTGCGGAAGCGGGCCCGGGTGCTCAGGATGGCGATCCGGGCCCCAGCTCTGAAGAGCTTCTGCCGGAGGCCGGGGTACCGGCTCCGCGTCCTGCCGCTGCGCCGGCGGACGTGGCCGAGACGGCGCGCCGTGTTGGTGCGCTTGCTCTCTCGCCGGTGGCCGGCGGCCCGGCCCGTTCCGGGCCTCCCTCGTCTGCTGGGACGGGTGGTCCCGTCACGGCGGAGACCCTGCAGGCGGACCTGCGGGAGCTCTACCGTCCCGACCAGGAACCGGTCGCGGATTACCTGACGCGGGTTTCAAGGCTGGTTGTGGCCTTGAAGGCGCACCAGGCAGAGGTCACGGTGGAGGATCTTGAGAAGATCACTACCAAGGCCACCATCCTTGCCGAGGAATACGGCAAAATGGGAGGTGACTGGCACCCTGCCAGGATGGTGCGGGCCCTGCGCACCAGGTTTACCGTTGCCGCGGTTTCTCTTGGGTCGGAAGACCGAGAGGAGGTCGAGAAGGAGATCTCGTGCCTCGGCGAGCTGATCTTGGCCCTGGGAGGCAAGAGCAGCGGCGATCCCGAGAAGGTTTGGAGCACTCCTTCTTCTGTCCCGGCCCTGGCGGCCCGGACGGGCGCCGTTGCGGAGTCGGGCTCTAAGTCCGGAGCACCGGCGCCTCTCCCGGTGGACCTTCAGCTCGCGATCCCTGAGGATCCGCAACCTGGTCCGGGGGACTCACCCCTGAAGTCCCGCCTTGCGGCTCTGGAGATAGAGCTCGAAGGGCTTAAGAAGGATAAGCCCGGCGAGCCTCACTCCGCCAGCGGCGGAGCCGGAGAGCTCGCTGCAGCTTTGGCGGCCCAGACCGAGGCGCTCAAGGAGGCCTTGGCGTCTCGCGGAGGTCAGACGTCGATCACGACCGTGAAGACGGACCTCCAATGGCCCTCGCTCACCGACGATCGCTCCGACATCCGGGACGTGGTCCAGTTCTACGAAGAGTTCGAGGACGTCTGTGGCCTTGCCAACAACTGCAAGGGGATGAATTTCCGGGAGAAACTCATCGCCCTTCGTGCTCGCTGCCGCGGCTCGAGGCTTAAGACCTTTACTAACGTGTACAAGGCTGCCTCCAAGACCGGGGAAGTTACTGAGAATCCCCAAGCCGTTTACGAAAGGATCAAGCAGCGGCACCTTGTCTTCGGCGAGAGCCGAGAAGAGAAGGAGATGAGGGTGGACGCGGAGCACGTCGCCCTCACTAAGGGCCGTCTCACAGGGCACCAGTTCGAGCCCCTGTTTGAGGCCTCCATCGCGGAGCTGGAGAGTGTGGGTCTTGGCAAGACAGCGAGGGAGCTCTTCCTAAGCTACTTGCGCAAGATGCCTCCACATCTCCAGAAGGAGATCCGCGGTGATAAGCGGTTGTGGCCTAGCGACGGCGCATCCGCAGGGCTTCGAGGCCCTTCGACCTGGGAAGAAGCGCATAAGGTCGTCCTCGAATATGAGCAGCGTGAGGCTGCGCATCGGGTGACGGCTAATAGCGTGTACGCAGGTTCGACGGAAGACCCAGCCCTGTCCGCCGCGCGGAAGGAGGTCGAGAAGCTGAGGACGGAGCTCAAGGCTTCTAAGGCCGCGGCCAAGGCGGCCGCCTCTTCCACGCTTGCCGCTGGTCCGAAAGGAAATGGAAAAGGTAAGCCTATCTGTTTCCATTTCCGCGACCACGGGAACTGCCCAAAAGGGGACGCGTGCCCTTACTCGCACGACAAGGAGCTCCGCAAAAAGGCCCTCGCGGCCAAGAAGGAGCGGGACGCGTCCACCCTGGCGACAACGCCGGGGAAGGGCAAGGGCAAGGGCAAGGGTGGACCCGGAGGGCAGCCCAAAGGCAAGGCCAAGGCCAAGCCCAAGGCGAAGTCCAAGGCGGGCGCGAAGCCGCCAGGGACTATCTGCCCTTTCTTCAAGAAGAACGGGTCGTGCCGTAAGGGAGCGGACTGTGACATGGTCCATTCGCTTCCCGCCACTGGGGGAGCCGCGTTGCCTTCGAACTGGGCGGCCCCGAGTGGCGCCGGGATGGTGAATCCCTTCGCTACGCTCTCCATCCAGATTGGGAGCGCTGGCACGGTTGTTGCGGCGAACTCCTCCGCTTTCCCGCTTGCCAAGAGCTCGTCGTCGAAGTTCAGCTCGTTGGACGAGCTGCCTCAGGACTGGTGGCACCTCTGCGAGAACGAGGTCGGGGGGTACCAGTACAGAACAGTCGTGCAGGTCATCGACGGCATGGTGGAATGCATGCTGGACGGGTGTGCAGGCTCGAACCACATCACGGAGGAACTCCTCTGTGGGATCCTCAACCGGGCTGCTGCCTTGGGGATCGGCACGGAGGACCGGAGGTTTCCTGTCGTGAAGTTCGAACGCTGGGTGCATCCGGAGTTCGTCCATGGGATCGCTGCAGGGAAGCCGGTGCCCCTGAAGGGGGCCGTCGTGCTGAGAGTCCGCTTTCTGGAGGGGCTCTCCCCCGACAACTGCAGCGAGGGTCCAGAGATATTCGTGCGCTGTAAAATAGCCGCGAAAGGAACCTCGGATTGGCATGGGCTCATCCTTGGCGGCCGCGCCTTGGATTGCTCGGGACGGCAGGGCTTGGGCTTCAAGCCCCTTCCTGACTGCCACTCCCTGGAAACCCTTGGGATTAAGATCCCCAGGTGCGAAGACTACAGTAGGTCGCGGAAGGACCGCGCCTACGCCTTCGAGTCCAGGCTTTCTAGTCTCGACGGTGCTCTGTGCTTTGAGCCGGGTACCGGAGGCAGGGACCTGCTCCGGTACAGCGGGGAGAACCCGCTGGAGCTCTTGGCCGGAGATGGGGTCATCGCACCTGTGAAGAGGGAAGGCAGTGGAGGCCAGGATGGCTCCCTTACGGAGGCTGTCCTCCCGGTAGAGTCCGCCAACTGCGAAGCAGTGCCTGGGCTGTGGCCCACAGGAGCCGAGGAAGGTTCGATCTTGCTGGTAGCCGAAGAGGACACGACTGTCTCTCCGGGTGCCGTCGTCGGCGAGGTCCGGACCGGGCTCGCGCAGACCACCGCGTGTGAATGCGGAGGGGTTGAGACCCTCTTTACGGACGCGAGTGGTGACCCGTGTGGGAACTGCGGATTAGGCACTGCCGAAGACTCGACCTTCCCTGGATGCTTTGCGTGCGGGTCCACCGAGAGGACCGCCGTCTGTGGCCTGCAAGGCTGCGGCGCATGCTCGCACAGCAGGGGTTGGCGTAAGGGCCTGAGGGTTGGGGCGGTTTTCGCCCTTGCCGCCGTAAGCACGGTCCTAGGAGGGCCTTGGGCCACGGAGTCCGTGGTTACGGATCCGGATGCCGTGTCCTTCCTCTCCTCCATCCCCACTGAGGGCCAGTGGTGGCAGACGAAGGGAGGAATGGCTGGCCTTTGGAGCGGCAGGCCCCAGGAAGGTGACCCGGAGAATCGGCCGGATGTCGAAAGGCTTCCGTACGAGACTTGCCTCTTGAAGTCTTCTGGCGGCCCGTGGCGGTTGTGGCAGACTAGGGACCTCAGGCTTTGGCCCGAGTCTGTCGACTGGTCGACCGTGCCCGTCACGTCCGATCTCGCGGTCTTCAGGACGAAGACGGGGCCGCGTTGGGCAGGATGGGATGCGGGTTCCGCTACGAGGGGGCTTGGAGGAAGCCACGGCCGAGACGTCACTAGTGGTTCCAGAGTGGACACTAGGAACGAGCCGGTGTACCACATAGTGGAATCGGCCGACATTGAGAAGATGATCGAGGAACCTCCCTCCGACTACTACTACGACAAGCTGCGGGAGGATATGGGTGCGAGGCACAAGGGTGCTTGCCCGCACCTTCTCGATCACCTGGTCTCTTTGGAAGCTTTCCTCGACAAGAGCATCCTCTTTGGGTTCTCCTTTGGTGTCGCCAAGGCTGAGATCTGTGTGTCAGAGGGTAAGCTCCTCGGGCACCGGATCGGGCGGCACGGGAGTGCGCCCGACGAGGAGCGATGCCAAGCGGTCGTGGATT